AGTGGTCGAAATGACTAGATAGGCAGGGTATAAATAATAATAATAATAATAATAATAATAATAATAATAATAATAATAATAACATTAATTTGTAAACCACCCAGAGAGGGCTTCGAGCACTATGGGCCATCAATCAGCAGCATGCTTTGCTTTGCCTTTAGTCATCCCAGTTTTGAGGCACCGCCGTTATCAGACAGACCTCCAGCAACCGGTACAGGACACACCTTGCGGATGGTCTCCAGGTCCATTGGGTTGACAATAACTTTGTAATAATCTGGCACGAATTTCTTGTTAACAGGATGATGAAAGGGCCAGGACTGCAAAGCAATAAGAGCACAGAGAAATAATGTGGAAAAATCAAGGGTCCTCCAAGTCCGCCGGAAAGGCTTTTGTGCACCGTCCAGCTGGAACCAGGAGACCACTTTCCTTGCCCGTGATCTCCTAAAACCCCCAATTCCTGGGGTGGCGGTGGTAAATACAAGGTAAACCCAAGAAAGCCCAGCCTTTGTTAAAAGCTGAAATTCTGCTCAAGACCAAAGTCCTTTAGAACAAATTGGGCCAGAGACGGAGATGCTCCCTGGGTCAAAAGGGAAAACGGACATGGGTGAGCAAGGATAGCCAGGCGTTCCTTTCCTGGTCACCGACCTTCTCATCTGCTCCATCTGCTGCCCTGCTCCCAGGATAAGCCTCCTCCCGCTCTGCCCTTCTGCCATCATCACTCCAACCCCCAGGCTCCTGTCTTCTTCTCCAGCCCGCAAACCATCACCCGGCAGAGGCCCACCCACATACATCTGGAACCGCCATCATCTTCTGCGTGACAATGTTGTCCAGAATAAAAGAGAAGGCTACTTGGTCATCATCATCCAGGAGGGGGTTGATCGCCTTCTCCAAACGAGCCAGCTTATCTTCTTTCTGAAACGGCACCAAGGGACAGAAAGGCACTGAATTTCAAAGCTCTCACCCGCCCCCTGACCTGCCTCCCTACCAACCACGGAGCGTGGCTTCAACATCTTCTGTTCCCATGGAATTCATCGGGGTTTGCCAGATGCACACCCACCCACAGGGGACAACACACGGTGGTTGGCTTCCTTCATCCATCAATTCGAAGGAAAACAGCTCCCAGAATGTTCCGGCAACATTTGGCTGATTTTCTGCGGAATTAACAGGACTGGAGAAAGTCCTTTATTTTTCACAACCCCCTGTGACAGGGGATTTCCCTTTCCATGCAGACACGTGGCTGTTTTGAAAAGCCACGTTCCCTTCCCGTTTGGGCAAGATGACGCCGCATTCTTTTACGAACATGACCCACCTTCAGGTGCGAGTCCCAGACAAAGCCCGACCCACTTGATCAGCTGCCCAAGGGGAGGCCGGCCCTGCTAGTGGGGCATAGCCTAATTAGTCACACCAACAGGATTTAGGCCTTAGGGTCTAATTTCCTGGCTGTAGCCATAAGGAATGTCCAAAAACATAAAATTTTTAAAAAAGGTATGTGACTTTTGTTCCTCTTTTGCATGCAGGTAACAGGGCCAGTTTCCTTTGGAATCTGTTCTTTGGGAAATCAAGGGAGGGCCTGAAGAGCAGCATCCTCCCCCCCCCCCCCCCGCGGGCACGGCAAGGGCCGAAAGGAAGACAGCCAGCAGATCATCTGGGTGGCCCTTTCAACAGTTCCCACCCACCCAAGTCAGTGAAGAACATGAAGAGGATTTCTGCTCCAGCCTGAAAATGCCCTCCCCCTCCTTGGCAAAGCCCAGTGCTCTGAGGCTCAGCGTCCCCCGCGTTCCCTCCCCACCCCAGCAGCCCAGCCGACACGCGACTTGCCTCTTTGAGCTTCTGGTCACAGAGGTCCAGCATGGATTGAGAGATCTGGGTCAGGGAGTGCTTCGGCCCTGCAAACACACCGGCAACCACATTCAGGGCAGGACGGAGCAACGGGAGAGGGGCCTCCACAGCCCGTCCCGTGGGTTTGATTCTGGGGCTTTTTCTACCCTTGGCTTTCACGACCCCTTATGCAGGGATTTTAACACTGTTATTGTAGTCAATAGAAAGCATTTTTTAAAAATAAATGTTACATTGTGAGCTGTCTCGAGGGCCCTGCTGTGCTGAAAGGAAGGTTATAAACATTCAAGCGCTGCACAGCAAGTCCCATCCACACTCGTCTGAAAGGTCCACTTTAAGAGTCACCAAGGCGCTCCAGAGAGCACTCTGGCCTCACAATCTGCAGTCCTCCTGGTGTCACAGAGCGCCAGCAACACTAACGGGATGCTCCACTCACCCCCTGCAACCTTCCAACAGCTACGGGGAGATCCAAGCTGCCCAGAAAGAAGGAAGCCAAAGGAGGAGGGACGAGAACTGCTCCGGTTTCGTTCTAGGCCTCCCCCTTCAACCATCCGGCTCTCTAGCAGAAAATTATACACATGGGGGGGGAGGGCTGGGATTTTACAACAGGGGCAGAAGACAAGATCAGGCATAGAAAGGAGAAAGCCTTCAGAGTGAGATTCAGAGAAGAGGAAAGCAGGACATCAAGGAGAAGTAATTTAGGGCCTGCCGGGGGAACAATTAGACAGACTCCCTCCCAAAGGAGGAGGAGGAGGAGGAGGAGAAAAGGCTTTTGAGGACAAAGCAGGTCACTTCAAGGGAAGGCACCATGGGAAGGCCCCTCTCTATCCGCACCTCCCTCTCTGTCCTCGGTTCAAAAGGAGCTTCACAGCTGCCATTACAGCCGATACACGTGCCCTCCCCAAGCCAGAGCCTCTAGCACCCATGCCTAGGAGGGTAGGCGAAGAGGGAGGGAGGGAGAAATGGGCCAGGCCAGGCCTACCGTTGTAGGTGGCACTGTTCTTCACAATCAGCTCCAGGTGTTCTCGGAATTCCTCCCGCGAGGGGTAGAGGCGTCTGCGGACATTCTCGCGCAGCGTCTGCAGGTCCATGGGCTTGGTGATGATCTTGTAATAATCTTTCACCACTTTCCCATTAACAGGCTGGTGGAAAGGGTATGTCTGCCGGAGGATAAGAGGTTGGGCAAACAGAGGGAGAAGGTCAGCTGCCGGCTGCCTGACACTTTTGCTTTTTCCAAGCAAAAACAAAAACCAAAACACCAAGCCTGCTGCAAGCAAACCACCTAAACATGACCAACAGAGTCCTCCTTTCCTTTCTGAATTTTAAGTCGTGCCGTTGCTTTAAGAGTCCAAGAGCGGCTCTGCTGTGCCAAATGGAAGTGGATCCACAGGCACACAGAAGAATATGGGGCTGGGAGCATCTTCTGACCCTCCAGATGTTGCTAATCTGCAAGTCCTACCAGCACAGCCGCTGGCCCTCCCAGGGATGCCAGGCCAAGTTCTCCCCATAATCCGGACTTCCTCAAATCATTTTGCCCCTGCAACCAAATCTCACTCCCCCCCCTCCACCAAAAAAGTTCTCACATTGGGAAGGTCTCGCATGTCGTTGATAATGCTTTCCAGCACAGAGGACAGCGTCACCATGGGGTCCGTGCGCCGTCGATGGATGGACTTGTGCGGCCGCTGAAAGAGACAGAAGTGGACGTGAACAGCCCTTCCGACCCCCCCCCCCCCCTTGGGTCTTGGCAGATCCTAAAGCAGAACTTCTTCAAGGCTACAATCCATCTTGGCAGATTTTGCTCTTTCGTCCTAGTTCTGAGCCACACCCCGTTCTCCTGGGGGATGTAAGTTACGCCATTTATTTGTTTCTTGCTTGCATTTATTAGTTTACAACAAACTCGTTCCTCGAAGTGCCAGACAACAATTTGTCAAGGTTTGAAAAATAAAAAAATAAAACAAAGTACTGTAAGGCATAACAGCAAACTGAAAACTAGAAATTCATTCAAAGTTACAGTCACCCCAGAGGGGAGGTGGGGGGGGGGAGACGCCTCCTTCCCAGGAGATCCTGCCCATTCCACACCATCTTCCCAGGCTGGGCAGTTGAGAACACGGACCTGCACGAGAGGCCCAGAAAGAGAAGACCAAAAAACAGGCCTTCTCGTCCCATTTTTGGAACAATCCCCCACCTGAAGTTCCCCTAGTCCCTCCACTAGGAAGCTTTAAAGGATCACTGAAAACGTGGCTTTTCATGCAGGCTTTTCCGGAGTATTCAATATCCTAACGCAGCGACCATTTATTTTATTTTATTTATTTAACTTATATGCTGCCCACACTGCCTTAAGGTCTCAGAGCGGTTTTCAGTGCCGTATATGACCTATTCTGACATCTTGCCTTTAAATTATCCTAATTATTTTTAATTTTTACTTATGCTGCCAGTTTATGTTTATTTGATGTTTAATTTTGAATTTGATGGTTATTGTGTTTATCGTTTCATATTATTGTTTCTCTGTTTTTTAGTTGTAAACCACCCAGATTGGCCCTGGAAGCCAGATGGGGTATAAAAACCAAACAAACAAACAAACAGAATATTCAGATCTTGTTAAAACAAAGGCTGAAAATAACCAATATAGTGCAGAGTGAGGCTGATGGCAGCAGCATGGCCTCCCAGACAGCTCTCGCAAGAGGAGAACGTAGGGTGCTTACGTTCAAATAGTCACAGTGAACTGTGGTTCCAACACGCCGTTTTTTCTTTGGCGGAAGCTGCTGTTTCGGGAACTTCAGGACTAAAGACTTCCGGCGAACCTCATCAGCGCTGTAATGGGGGGGGGCATGATTGAGGTTGGAGAGAGAGAGAGAAATTACCTCCTGCAGGGACGAGCCGAGCACCAAGTATACATTTCAAAGGCCATTCGCTCTTCTGAATGTTCAATGGAAAATGACCCTCTTTGTCTTATAGTCAAGATCCCAGCAGCCACTGCCAGTTCAGTAAAGACATGAACCACGTTCTCTTCATGTGTTTAAATGTACAGTTTTGGAACAGTAATGGTTTCATTTTATCGGTTTCCTGCCCAGGGAGTTTGGCATAGGTGAAAAATTAACAATGTAAGTAAATACAGACACGCCTTGTTGGAAAACATAGCTCCCCTTTTACAAGAGGAAAACAGAATCCGTAACCCAGTGACTCTTTAAAGCAACAGGTGTGTTTGCAGGGGAAGTGGGCGCCCACACCTTCAGCGGCAGGGAAGCCACGAGCCCCTCCTTCTCCCTCCTCACCTCTCAATGAGCTGCTTCCCCAAGACGATCTTGGTCCCCTCCACTTTGATCAGCTCTTCGTTGTCATTGGGAATGACCGTCTTCTCCAGCTCCTCCTCCTGCTCCTCAGTCATGGCCACCGGGTTGGAGGGTGGAGCATTGGTTTGGTAGTAGAGGGGGCAGAACTTGTTGGTCCTCATGTGCCCGATGGCCCCACAAGCCCCACACTTTAGCTGCAGCAAAGGAAGGCGCTGTGAGGGGCCAGGAGAGCAAGCAGAACAGGCAGCCCCCACTCCATACCCCCCCCTCAAGGGCTGGGCGGCAGCCCCAGCGCCGGCCAAATCAGGAACTGGGCTGAGGAAGATCTGGGATCAAGCAAACCACCCGCCGTGGCCCTTAAACGGCTTGTCAGAGACCTTGGCAGACAAGCGGCTTCTCCTTTCTGAAGAGCAAGTCTTTGAGTCCAGCGTGCAACTATCTGAGACTCAGTAAGCACAGGCAGGATGATGAGGAACGAGGGGGCTTTTCCCCTGCCAAGCCAGGCCATGCATTCATTCCTGGTTACAAAGGCACAGCCCACTGTCCCGTCGGTGGGGGAGGGAGCTTGGGGCTTTCGAGCAGCTCAGGCGCAGTTTGAGGCCACGCTGGCTGTGCTCAGAAAAGAAGAGGAAAAAAATCCAGGCCGTGTCCTAACGAAGCCCAGATTCAGAAAAACCAGTCTAAACCAAGACTGCTAATTAAGGAAGGTTCCTGGTTGCCTCCCTTGCTGAACGGATACCACTTCTTTTGGGCCTAAGGGATGGTGAGAGGAGGTGACAGGGCCCCAAAGTCATCCCCCCCCGACAGAAACCCGGCCAAGACACACACCGACCGAGGCGTTCCGGGACGTTCATGGGTCTGGGACCTTCACAGGCCCAAAAGCCATACCCCTACTCCGATTTTAGAGAGGGGAGGGAGAAGAAAGGCCGCAGAAGCCGACCAGACGCCTCCTCACCTTCAGGTCTGGCCGCTCTTTCATCTTCTTGGGCTTCTTCTCAGGCGGGCCCTTCAGTTTCTCCTTCTCCTGGTTCCGTTTGAGACGCCTCAGCTGCTCCTGGATCCGGCGCCTCTCCTTCCGCATCTCCTCTCGGTGCTGCTCATCGAAGAGAGCAAACTTCCGGCTGGAAGGCAAAGGGTGTCGGTCTGAGGGGCCTTCGTTGGGCAAACCTTTAAGGCGACTTCCATTCTCGAACCGAGGACTACAAACAAGTTCCACGGCGGACACAGGATGCCCTCCGGACAATCCATTCCGGGGTCAGGCAGGTGGTCCCCCTCGCCCAACACTCTCAGGTCTGTTCTGGAAACCCCCTGCAGGTGAGACGCGGGGCTCCTGCATTACGCCATGCCCCCCCTCCCCCTGCTGACACCCACAAACCCAAGGCTAAAAGAGGCACCTCAGGAACAGGCACAGAGACCTGTTTCAGGACAAGAGGAAAGCCACACAGTCAACAAGATAAGAGGAGACCACGGCCCCCTTCCCGGGCCATGCTTCTGCCACCCAAGGTCCACGTCTATCTGTTGCCACACCTGCTCTCTGGACCATCCATTCCCTCCCCAATTACTTTTTCTTCTCAATGAAAAAAACTGCTCTCTGTTCCATGACTCTGCCTTTCCATGTGTTCAGTCTACTTCATTTCTCATGTCTGCTGCTTATTTCAATGCTCTGCCCTCACCTGAGGTGTTTTTATTTTTCCTACGGGCTGGCTAACTTGAGGAAAGACTCCTTTTTTTTAATTCTAGGAAGAACAAAGGGCCCTAACCCTTTCGCACTTCCTCCAATTCTGCTCTCAGAAGGGGGATCCCCGCTCGGCCACCCCACAGGGGCCCTGAAGGGACACCAGCCTCTTGGCAAAGGCCCTCACATGAACTCGTCATCCTTGGTGGTCCGTATCCTGCAGTAGGCATCAATAACGGCCGCCTTGCGGACGGTCTCGCATCTCACGTATTCCTTCCCATCCTCATCCCGAAAGGTGCGGTAGATTTTCAGGCGGCGGCCGGTGGCAGAGGAGTTAAGGCTGGTCACGGAGGCCGTATCGTCATCCTTGTGAGAGCTTCCCAGATTTCCTGGAGTGGAGGCTGCAAGAAAAAAAAGAGGGTGGGGGAAAAACAGGATGGCATTGCCGAGGCCAGCATGCCACCCTCTGCCTTCCGGTTGGCTGATGACGGTGAGATGCCTTCTCTGCAAGATCCCTAGGGGCAAGGTGCGTGCGAGACCCACAAGCCTCAGCACCCCATACACATCTACAGATAATGCCCACCTGCCTAGAACCCCCCCTTTCCTCTTTGCACCCCTTGCCCCATCCACCTCCAGGCTGCCCCCCCCGTCACCCTCCTCCAGGGAATTCTCCTCCCATGAGACCCCTAGCGGGGCTGCACCTCTGTGGCAAAGCAACTGCTGGGATGTGCAGAAGGGCCCACATTTCATCCCCGGCCTCTCCAGGGAAGGCAAGGACCGGATCCTGCCTGAAACACAGAAGAACCACTGCTGCCCGTCAGAGCTGGCAACCCTGGGCAGAGGGGGGGCAAAGAGCTGCCTCAGGATTGGCAGATTCCTGAAACCCTATGATCTCTCTCTCTCTCTCTCTCTCTCTCTCTCACACACACACACACACACACACAGGCAGGATGCTGGGCCAGAAGGACCAATCCAGGAGGATGCGCCCAATGTCATTCAGCAGCCACGGCTGCCCTCCTGCAAGCCTGTCTGGGGACTTTATCTTAGAGCCTGGAAATGCTCTTCCTTTAGGATATAACTCCCAGCAAACCACACACCCCTTGCAGGAGATGTAAAATTTCTGAACATTTCCATTTTTACAAAAAAAAAAACCAACACTTTTTTTTTTTAAAAAATGGAAACTTTGGGAAATTTTACATCTCTAGAGACTACTTACACACATAAAGTCTCAGAAGTCTTTCATTAAGGTCTTCATGTTACATAGTTTGAATACCATGTCATAAACATATTACTTATGCTTGTAAAAGAACATATTCCAGACTCTGTGGTTTTTTTAAAATTTTCCACCAAAAAAATTTCCCCAATTTTTCTGATCCCCTCCCCCATGGGCAGGCCTTCCCATCTCTATCTTGCCCCCCCCTTCCCAGGGGCCCTGCTGGGGAGCTGATGCTGGGAGCTGTCGTGGGGGTGGGAGGCGGCCCCTTCCGGCGGCCTCTGCCCTCCCCGGGCGCGAGAGGACCCACCCAGCCCCTTCTTGTCCCTCCGATCCTTCTTGCTCCTCTCCTTGTCGTTGCCGCTGTCCTCGCCCATCAGCATGCGCTGCAGCTCCTTCCGCTCCTGCTCCTCCCTCTCCCGGGACAGCTGGGAGCTGGTCTTCTTGTTCTGGAGCATGTTCTCAATATTCTTCCCCATCTCCTCGAAGTCGCTGTCCTCAGCAGAGCTGCTGTCGGTGTCCGTGGACAAGATCTCCGTGGACTCCAGGACTCTAGAGCAGAAAACCGCCACAGCACGGTCAGTCGGTGAAATCCACCTCCCAGACACCACGGGGCTACAACGAGGAGGCCGGAGGGGAAAGCACCCTCGAGCAGTCTTTGGAGAGATCCGGCGACCCCTTGCCGGAAGGGGCACATAGCAAGAGGCCGGCGGGAGGTCTCCCGCCAGGGGGATCAAGCTGAGCACTCACTTGTTCTGCAGGTCAAAGATGCGCTGACACTCCTCTTTGTACCTCTCCTGATGTTCGGCTACCGAGAAGCGAGACCCGCGGGCAAATTTGCTCATGGGCCCCTCGCCCGAGCGAGCCTGCTCTGTGGACATGGTGCGCACCACGTCGATCACCTCCCAGCGGGAGAGTTTCTTGATCTAAGGGAAGAGAGGTCAGCTGACTGCAAGAGGCTGCCAGGGACACACACACACCTCTCCCCCGTGCAGAGGGAGACGAAGGCGGGCAGGCAGAGCAGGCCCTTCACTTCAGACCCACCTCTTCTTCAGGAACCCCAAACTTGCGCAGGAGCTGCTTTGCATTTTTGAGAGACAGGCGCCGGAGATCTGCGTCCGTCCCCGTCACCGTCTTCTTCACGGGCTGTGGCTCCTTGTCGTCCTGCTTGAAAAGGAGAAAAACCCTTCCTTCAAGACCTCCTCTCTTTCTCTGCTCACTTGCAGCACCAGAAAAAGGCCACTGGGAGAAAAATCTTATCATCAAGGCAGCTTCCCGGCGTGTCTGGGTGCTCAAGACAGGGGTTCTGACTGAGGCAGGAGGGGGAAGAATCAGGAATTCAGGAGAACATGTGACCAGTTGGGAAGAAAAACACACACCTTCTATGTTACATGTTATTTTACCTTTCTGATTTGTTGCCTCTGAATTACACTACATTGTTCATTGCGCATGAATGACACCAACAAAACCAACTAATGCAAGATAATGTAAACCTACATATTTCAAATTTCAAATAAAAATACTAGTGGAAGAATATATGCAGAGAAAACAGAGGGCTTTTTTATACTTCTTTAACCAGAAAGAGGGCCATCATCTTTAAAAGGCAGATAGACGCTTTTTCCAAGAAGGCAAGCCCCCTTCCCTCCAAGGTTGGGTCCTGCTTCCCAGCAGGCAAGGCAAGAGAAGCCGCCAAAGGGCTCTGGGGGGCCCCTGCCCAGCCGCAGCGGGTGGCCCGAGCCTTTTTGCCCCTCCACTTACTTTCTGCTGTGTCGGCTTGTTTGGGATTTTGACGTAAGAGAACCCTTCTCCGCACCCGGTCGGGTCTGCCACCCCGGTCACCTCCAGGAGACATTTTCCCTTCATGGCTGCAATGAAGGCCCGAGTGGTGTTCCAGGGAGCCGTGCGCACCTGGGTGGAGAGAGCAGGAGAACCATCGTATTTCAGCGGAAAGGCCACCCTCACCCCCCTGAAGCTCTGGCCCAACGTATAGGGAGGGTCCCACCTCATCGTCAATCTTCATCTGGAAGTCCTCCTCATTTTCTTCCTCTGGGGCAAAAAAGGATTTTTCACCATAGCCCGCATCCTGAGGAAAGAGGCAGACAGCAGGTCATTTTCTGCAACGTTTGGGCCACGATCACAGGTACAGCCAAAACCACTGCATGGAGAACTGAAACCACCGAGAGCTGCCTGCAGTCCACCCCTAGTGCCTCTGAGACCAAGAGATGGACAGGCCCTCGCGGTCTAGCCCTCTACACGTGGCCCGTCCCCCTCCAGCGGACATGATCTTGGAATCTTTTCTTGCTTTCTCCCTGCAAAGTACGCAGGAGACCCCAAGGCAGCCTGCAAGGGCCGGCCAAGCCGGTCACAAAAGGCATGGGCTCACCTTCAGGCGCTGCTCGGCAGCGATCATGCTGTAATAGGCGCAGCACTGCTCTGGGGACACCATGGCCCGGATCTCCTCTTCGGTCGGCAGCCGGAAGTCCGGTTTGAGGACCCACCAGTTGGAGTCCATCCCTGCAACAGCAAGCGACGACACGCACAGCCATAGAGTGGAGCCAAGCAAGACCGTCTCCCACCATGCCAGTCCCTGGAATTGGAGGAGTCCGGCCTCGCCGCTCCTGGGCCCACCGCTGAAGCAGGGAACTGAAGCCCATGCCTTTTCATCTTGGAGGGGGGGGGAGGGACGGAACCTGGAGCCTTGTGGACCCACAGTGAGAGCCCTCCCACTATCCTACCCCCCCACACACACACACACAGGCAGGAAGAGGAGGACCACCCCAGCCTGGGGAGGATGTTTCCAGAAGGCCTGTCACGGGGCACCCTCGCCCACCTGTGCGCTTGAAGTCTGCACAGAGCTTCAGCCGCTTCCGGATGCTGCTCTCCGAGTGGGAAGGGAAGGCCTTTTTAATATCCTCCATGCGGATCCTCCGGGGACGATCTCTGCTCTTCCAGAACAGGCGGTAGATGAAAACCTGGCAAGGGGAGACAAAGGAACAACCTGAAGGGTACAAAGGCTCGGGGGTGACCTTGCTAGACCCCGGGGCTGAGCCTCCCCATGCACCACCCGACCCCCTCCTCACCTGCCACATTAAGCAGGCACACACCCCCAATGATCCCACAAGCAGCACAATGAAAACAGTCTCAAGCCCCCAGGAATGCCCGCCATTTTGAGCTGGGAGACAGAAGTCCTTTCTCATCTCAGACACACTACCCACAGCTAACCCTGTAAACCGCCTTAAAAAATTATTTCCCTGCGGTACATCTATGCAACACAATGCCACCTGCAACTCTACAGCCAGCTGTGTACTAAGGTTCACCCTTCTAGGCAGGAGCCCTCACGCATGGTCTCGTGCCAACCCACCTGCAGGAAGTCTCGGATGTGGGTGTTGGCCCGCTTGGAGTTTGGACCAGGTACTTCAAAAAGAGGGCACTCCTGACCAATGACAAAAATGTCCACCAGCTCCCGGATGTAGTACCCCTGCCGCGTCCGGATGATCAGGAAGTCTGTTTCAGGCATCTTGTGAAGGTAGATTGGAGCCCGGAAGAGATTGTTTTCAAACGCCTGGCAAAAGAGAAGGGGCGGCCGAAGTCAAGCACAGGAGCAGCAATGGAAAGACCAAGGAAGCTCACGGTGAGCTGACTGGCTGGCGTTCATACCGCAGGCAGAACTCAGGGGTCTTCGTCAAACACAAAAGGGAGCAAGCAGCAGCTCTCAGATATTTGTGCACGGGAGCTTCAAGCTCACTCTGCCCAAGACAAGACACCCCCCCCCATCCTGCCGCCTGTCCTGCTTCGATCCCTCTCTCTCTCTCTTCCCAAAAGGAAAAGCTCCAGGTGGTTTGCCAAACAACAGAGAAGAAAATGCATACAATGAAGACAAGAAGAAGATGCAACAGTAAGACACAACGAAACAACTTGTCATCAAAACACACACTTTAATTAAAGGCAATTTTGGAAGCACAGTCCTTTTGGAAAAGAATGCCTCTTCTCTGCGGAAACCGTTTCTCTCACCGGCCGGCTCAGCTGCCGAAGAGGCCCACTCCTCCCTCCTAGGCCATCCTCTGGGCCTCTGAGGTCACCCCGCCTCTGCCTCCTCCACTCAAGACTCATAAAAAGCAGGCACCTCACCTGGAGCAACTGGCCCGGGTGCAGGGAGCCCAAGAACGGGGACGTGTGGCAGTAGACGGTCTCTCCGTATTTACAGTCGGGGGCGCCAGGGTCCTTGCCCGGTTTCTGCCAGGAGCAAAACAGCTTGAATGAGGCGGCGGGTCTCGGGTTGTGGAAGCTCAGCGCCACCGACCGCCGACCCTGGGCGGGCACTCACCCGCTTGTAATAGTTCTTGATCTTGGTCGCCATGCCCACTTGCATCATCAGAGGGGGATTCTCTTCACTGTACTCAGCCAGGATGAGGTCTCCATCCTTGCCGGTGAGGTCCTGGGAGGTGCGCATGAAGAACATCTCTCCACCGCCAGAGGCCTGCCGCTCCTGCTCCCGCATCTGGGCAAAGAGCAGAAGAACCCAAGAGGGAGGGAGTCCAGGAATCAGATGCTGACAGAAGGACCTCCCAACAAACACGCCACCAGCAAGAACCATTTTTCCCCCTACCAGAATGCTTAAGGAGGGAAAGCCCCAATCCATGACCCCCTCTTGTTATCTCAGGAAGAAGGCTGGGCCAGCAATCGTGCAAACAACAGCGACAGCAGGAATCGTACACAGGAAGGGGAAAGGGCCGGGTGGGTGACAGGCCAAGAGGCGAGCAGAAGAGGAAAGCGGGCCACTGGCTCACCTTGGCTTTCTTCTTAATGTGCTTCAGCAAGGGCTGCACCGTATGGGGACCAGGCTGCGACAAGGCCCCAAAGGAGTATTTCTTCAGCGGGGGTCGGTGGAACTGGCGCAGCTTCATGGGGCCCATGTGGGTGGGGAAGAACGGCTGCCGGAGCTCCACGGCAGGGATCGAGTGCTGCAAGAGACCCCAAGAGACGCTCAGTCAGGAAGGGCTGAACTCAGGCAGGCCCCCGTCTGGGACCACCACCTGCTCTGGGAACGCCTCTCCCCCCCCCTTAAGAGGACAAGGGCTCCTGGCGCTGCTCCAGAAGTAGAGGCTAACCCGTTTGGAGCAGAAGGAGACACCCCTCCGTTATGGCCACGTCCTCAGCCCTGCAGACAGAACCTGCACGAGCTTTACGGGAAACGGACGCGGGACCTTAAGTGTGACTGAAGACCCCAGGCCAGCTGGGCTCTTTGCAAAACGCCCGCGTGGTGTGCCAGGCTTGAAAGCTCATGCCCCCCCCACACGTTTGCAGCTCCCGGTCCTCACCTGAATGATGTTGCCTCCGAAAGTCCCCCGAAGCCCCTGCTGCTTGGGATAATAAAACTCGTCATTGGAGAGGTTCCAGGGGTCCTTCACCTCCGGCTGAGACATATTCTAGATGTGCGGCAGAGAAGAGCAGAAGTCAGAGCGGCCTCTCCCCCCCCCCCCCCC